CAGTTCACATGAAATTCTAATAACCGTCACATATTTATTATATATCAACCACAAATTCAAATAAAGGTATATTCCATCTCAAGATATCGGGCACTCCATTAATAACTTATCTTTGGACAATGATATTAACTTGTAAGTGATATCTTGGTGTAGTAATCAAACACTGACAGTAAGAGCACATCAAATAATAATTCTACCTTAGGGCCAAACTATTATTCACATGCAAAACACCAAATAATCGCCACGCGTTTACCACCACAATATGCACATGCAATTCAGCAAAGTATTGGCCTTCCTTAGGGCCGACACAATACCCACATTATTACATGCACAAAACCTTTTGTATTTTAAAATAAATTAAGTTTCACAGGAGAGCTCACTTAGGCGAGATGCTGCTTCTCTTAATTCATATCAAAATACATAAATCAAACCAATATTTGAATTTTAACTGAATTTAAGCCAATAGACTTTCTCAAAAAATCTTTAGTCATAGGCCTAATTAAATTACCTTATGAACCCAAATCCCACGTTATTTAGATTTAAAGTCAAAATAAAGTCGACTAGAAATCTTCACTTTATAACCCAAAGATGAGCCTAAACCATAAATCATAAAATTCATATTTATTTGAATTTGAGCTTAAAGTACAAAAAATGAGCTCACAAATTCAACCTTATAAGATTTAAAGCCAACAATAAATTTCGGACAAATAAATCCAAATTCTTATGAATTTTCACAAAACAATGAAGACTCAAATTTATAATAAAGTCACGAGTCTACGTGCCAAATATCGATTGGGTCAAAGCTTATTGAGTTATACATGATAACTCATACATATATTGACAAACAACCATTACTTTAATGAGTCAAAACCTATTGAATTATAATAATTCATATCCATAATTTGACTAATTAATCCAAATTTCAATCCAAGAAGACCCGAACTTTAGAAATCTGAAATTCCCCAAAATAAAATGCCTCAGGAAATTAAAATTGAAATTCAAACTGAATCTCACTTTATTGACCAAACAAGTTCTTAAAGAGAATTAAAAATAATTCACTTATTCGTTTGATTCTTCATAAAACATGAATTTCAAGTGGCCCAAAAAAAAAAACTTTAAATTAACTTTTTATTCCTTAAAAAATTGCCCTTGCCCCAAAACAAGAAAATCTTTCAACTTAAAGGACTGAATTGTAATTTTGAAAGAAAAGCCTTTGAGTGAAAAGGGATCTAAGATTCAGAAATACTTAATTTGGCGGTTAAAAAAATATATTTTCTGAATATTTATCACAGTTTTGAGAGAAACTTTAAAGCTGGGGACTGAAGTGCACTTTTCGAAAGCTTTGAGGGCTGTAATACAGATTTTACATTATTTAAAATCGACCCAGGCTCAAAATCAGGAATAACCGAAATATGGGCTGAATTGAAATATTGCTAAATATCTCAAACTTAAATTAAGGGACCAAATTGGGAATTACAGAAACCTTAAATCTGGGGTTAAATTGTAATTTTCCGAAACTTCATAAACCTAATTTTCTTTCAGACCCGCCGCCACCACCATGACTGCAACCTAAGCAACACCACCGCCGAAAACACACAACTCACAGTCTCTCTCCGTTGGCCACTAAAAATCCCTTATTAGCGAATCCCCACCGCCAAGAATTGCGAAGGACAATCACTTGCGTTCGCTATATTGGCCGCCGGAAACGGAAAGAAGATGGTGGTGTGAGAATCATTGCAGCGGTGGTGTCGAAGGATGGCTCGGCCGGAAAACCAAATCAGCCCAATGGATTAATAACCGAATAATTTAACCCAAATTTGAAATTAATCAACCCAAAAGGTGAACTTAATCATACAACTGTTAAAAGATTCCTATAGAATCGTAATTAAATCGAGATTCAGATTTACATAAACAAACCAATCTCCCGATTTGGAATTCAGCAATTAAATAACACAATTCTTAAATTAATTAAACAATTAACAAACAACAGGCCGGATGAATTTTAATAAATTAAGAAATTGTCACATAACATAACAGTACAATTCCAAGTTCATAATCGGACCATAATTTTTCAGAATTGAATCCACAAAATCATATTTCGCATAACTTCGAAATAGGGAAATTTAACGAACATAATATCCCCGATAATTCAAGACATGGTGGCTCTGATACCACTTGTTGGAATAAACTTGAATAAATCCCATAGAACCGTCATGCCGAATCATCAAGAATATTGTACATAAACATAAATTGGAAGCGTACCTTACTCCGGTGGAATTGATAAATTGGAAGCGTACCTTACTCCGGTGGAATTGATATAAAACGATCATAGATCTTCCAGATCATCATGTACATCCGAACCCGAGAACCCTTTAGACTTCTATCTTTATGTCGATGGAATACATAGAGAATGGAATTAGTTCCGGGGACCATGAGCAATATATATAGATAACCTAATGGGCTATCTTGTGTAATTTTATTTTAGCACATCACCATGGTTATCGAATCGGAAAATATCGGCGTATCGTTTTCCTGCGTGTATCGTATCGTATCGATATCTTATCGTATCGTACGATATTTAACCAACTATTAAAAATATATATATATATATATATATATATATATATATATATATATATAATAAAATACTATAAAAATGTAAAATTTAATATTTTAAAGTCAAACCACTTATTCCTATTTTAAAAAAAATAATTTATCATAAAATAGGACAGAAGTCATAACTGCTCGTAAAAATAACATCAACAAAGTTCAAATTTTGATCTCTAATTTGTAAAAAACTAATTATCACTCATAATCTTCAAGATCAATGTAATTTAATTTTTTTTCATCCACCAATTTCAAACAAGTGTCTTCATCCTCATGTTCATCAATCTCTTCAATTTCATCAACTCCAACTTTCGCCTTTTCCTATTTTCTCTTATCAATATAAAACTTGGCGTGTAAATTTCTTGAATCTAATATATGTTAAAAAAAAATATTTAATAATATTGAAATTCGTTTGCAAGCCCTGATAATGTGAATATTTCGTTTTCTTCTTTTTTTCTTTAACTTTTTTAATTTTTTTAATTTTTTAATTTTTTAATTTTTTTTTTAATATTTTGACTAATATTGTATCGTAGGGCTGGAAAATAATTACCGCCTACCGAATACCACGGTATACCTACCAAACAATACCGAAAATTTACCGAAACTTCGGTAACCACTACATTTGGTACGGTATTGGTACCGTACCACAATCCTACGGTACGGTAGCGGTATTGTATTTTCAGTACCATGGTAATACTGTACCGTACCGCAAATTTGAAATTTACAATTTAATTAATATATATTTATTTTATATTGGTTAGTAATTAACTAAAATTAAAATTACTACATAAAATAAATAGATCAAAACTTAAAAATTGAATTACAGTTCTTAAAAATTTATGAGACAACATTGAAGTTTAGTGCAACAAAAAAAAACGTACATCCCATTTGGTTTTCACTGAAATAGTACAGCTGCAAATTGAGATTGAAAAAAAAATCATGACTCTAGTAATCTTATTTTGCAAGGTGTGGCTAAATCATTGAAGTTGAAGTTTGACAAATATTCAAGGAGCTTTAAAAAATTGAATATGATCATATAAATAGCCAATCTTCTTTTTTAAAGTGTTGTGTTTTTATAAAGATCGTCTTCAAAGTGACAAATTAAAATTAACGGTAGAGTTACCATGTACCGATATACCGTACCGAAAGTAACGGTATACCGAATAACGGTATACCGCACTTGTTGGTACGGTAACGGTATCGAATTTTTCAATACCATATAATTCGGTAGGTACACGGTATTGATCAAAATATTCGGCAACCGTACCGAAACCACCCCTATTGTATCGTATCGTGATATGACGATACCATACGATATCTCACGATATTTAATGGTATTTATGCATAACCGATACATATTATGAGTTGTATCGTTTTGATTAGAACCGTATCGTCTCGCGATATATATCGCGGTATCTCGCGAGTTTAACTACTATGCCCATCACTATAATAAAATTACCCTAAATGTCTCTACACATTAAAGGCCCACACCTTATTAGACACATTAAAGCCCAATCTAGATAAACTTTAGTCGATCACTTTATCGGGCTTAACCTTACGTGACAGTCTTGCAACACATAATATTTCACATATAAGTCCAACGTTGGATTAATGATCCAACAGTATATTGATAGATCTGTTCTTAGTTGATAATACAGTAGATTTAGTTTGTAATTGTTGTTATATTTAGATTTAGTTGAGGTTGGTGGTGCAGCGGGCGGCGGAGACGAGAATTTATTGAAGTGGGTTAATTTTTTCTTCTCTAAAACCCTCTATTTTTTTCTCTTTTTTCTCTCCTCTTCTCTTTCACTCTATGATTCACTCTACAAATGAATGAATGATTTGCTACTCCGAATTGCCTATGTATATAGGCAAAACTTATAGTGTAAAAACATTAGTCAGAGACGAAGTGAAAACATTTATTGCATTCCGTTTCGCCGGTGCCCCACCAAATGAAGATGGATGCTGTTAGTATTAGAAAAAGGATTGCAGCAACCACTATTCATCCACATTGTTGAACTATTAGAAACTATACGTACAGCTCGCAACCTAGGATGGAACTCAATCATGTTGAAAGGAGATTGTGCGCAGATGATCGAGGTACTTAACTCTGGAGAATTAATTTTAACATTCGTCATTTGGCGCATTCGTAGAAGAGACTCTTTTAATGGCTAGTTCTTTGTTTCTTGTGTGTGTTTGTTTATTAAGCACCAAGGCAATTTGTTGGCACACGATATTGCTTCTGAACTTGGTAATGGTTGTACTCAAGGTTCTCACATTCCCTCTATATATTTTGGTTATGAATGCCCAAGTAAAATTATTTCTGATAAAAAAAAATCAATCTAAAATTCTTTATAGTTTAACATATTTAATTTGGAATTGTTTCCTCAAATCTTCTTGTTCAAATACAATTATAAGTGCAATCGGTAATTATTAAACTTTCATCCAAATACAACTTCAAGTTTAATCAGTGCTTAGGTCTAAGCTCAATGCCTTCAACAAGGAGCCCTCCTTTAAGCTGGTTACCCTTAATTTCCTTAAACTCCATTTTCACCTCTTTATCACTCTCGTCATTGTAGAATTCTCCTAATTCGATGTCCAACCATCCGTCGCCACGTGGACATGGAAACCGTTTCCCCCCTACACAAAATGGTTCATATCCTTGCCTTTTGAACCCATTGAGATTCATATAAATCTTTCCTCGCGTTTTGTAATCACCGACTTCAATTGAAACCTCCAAAGGTGTGTCATCTAATCCAAAAGCACGTTTAACAACCTGAACAACGATGTACGCGCCGTAGGTCGTGTTTGGGGACAACATTCCCGTGTTGATTTTTCCTCGTATTTCAAGCCAAGACACCATTACAAGCTCTACTGCTTCAGGAAATCTAAAAAGTCAAAAGAGAAAAAAGGGAAAAGAAAAAATGAATTTGAAATAAAAAGAAGTTAAATAAGAAACTGTGTAATGAGAAAAGTAAATTGACTCGACCTGGAGTGAAAGAGATGTTTCCAGTGCCAATAAGGAGAGTTTGTAGACCAAGTAATTGAGAGTTCCCTTGCACTCAACATGTAACATCTTTTGTTTGTATGTTTGTCCAGTAAAAATGTCTGCATTTCTAATTTTAACATTTGTCAGTGTCTAATCACAAATATTTTGATAATTTGAAAATTACTAAGAATATAAGGCGTCACAAATAATAATCATTTTTTGTTTGTATTTACAAAAAAACCACAATTTGCAACTTTTATTATTAAATATAAGATTCCAAATAAGTTCATATAAAACTATACCTTTTATAAAAAAAAAATAATGTAGGAGAACATGATTTTATCTTTGAAGGAGTATATAAAATAAGGGAAAACTAATTAAAACTCAATCGAAAAATTTTGTATAGTTAAGAAGCCATTCGAATATGTTAACATTCCTAAAAGTCCCTCAAGCAGCTAAGTTTAACAACCTAGACTGAAAATAGACAACCTAGACTGAAAATGAACATCAAGTTGGAGATTTTGAACTAAAAATAGACATTTCTAATTGAGGTTCCCAGGGAACTTTTAGCCAAATAAAAAAAATTGAAATAAATTAGACATGATGAATGAGTTTTGCAAATTGCCCCATAAAATAAATTATTAGGAAAAATAAATCTTGTGTTGGTGGATCTCTGCCCCCTATTGCACCTGAAGGTTTTAAAATTTAAATAGTGAAAGATAACGACCCACCAAGTATTTAAACTCCTTGAGCAATTTACTGATTATCGAAAATAATACAAATTCCTTTTCTAATTACGCGCAATAGTAGATGTGTATATATATATGCCAACAATTAATTAATCGACAAAATAATTGCAATAATAATAGTATATTAACGAAGTTAAAAGTTTTAATTTGTAATATACCTTTTGACCACCATCAATAAGAAGCGGGGTAGAGGAAAGCTTAGCATACAAATCCTTTTTGGAGGAGAAGAAAAAAGGAGACACAGAATTGGAGATGATGTCAGAGTAATCCAACGGCAGGAATTTATTCCAGACCAAGTCGGAATCGGCTGCATCACGGAAAGTACACGAAACGAGAGATGAACGGCACGCATCCTTTGGACAAGTTAAAGATATGATGTGTGATAGGCATTCCTCCGGCAATGACTCAATCCTTGTGCTCATCAAACTCATTTCTTCAAATTTTATAATAATGTGAACGAGGTTTTGAAATGCGTATAGCATGTATATATATGTAAAGGAGCTAGCTCATAATACATTTTTCGATGACGACATAAGTTTGACAGATGAGGACATATGTAACCATCTTATGAACCATTTTGATTAGAATATTAGTAAGATAATGATATTCCGTAGTTCCTTATAACTTTAATTATTTCAATTAGATAGGTTATTAGTTAGCTGCTCTACGATATACATTCCTTTTGATAAGACTTATTAGAAATAAATGATTAGCCAGTTAAACATATGCTTCACAACCTTATTAATTTCATTTCAAAAATATCATCCACACAAAAAATGAAATTTGCACAAAGTAATATTTAAACTACATTTATCATTTTTTATTATGTATTTAATATTTTCAATTTACTTCTCGCATTTTTGTTATTATTTTTCTACGTAGAGCCAGTCTCTCTCTCTCTTTTTCATTTTCGTACTTTTTTCACTATTTTAAAAATCTATGTTCTCTGTTTTTTTTTTTTACATATAGAGAGAGAAAGAGATCTTGCCCTTATACCCTAAATGCTATTCACGTATTGATTAAAGAAATTATGGATGTGAGTCATATATTTTTTCAAACTAAGGGCTTGTTCGGTTACCAATATTGGATTAGATTGGATTACATGAGATTGGATTAACTCCCTACTGACTAATTAATAATTTAGTTAGTAGCATGTTCGGTTTCTTAAATTAGATTTTCTATTAAATTTGTTAAAATCAATTATTATATATGAATTGTCTATAAAATCTCTTAGTTTACAATAATAAAATAAGGTTTTTGAGGATAAAATTTTAATTTTCCTTTTTAGTCACCCCCTATTAAATTAATCTCAGGGGAGGGGTGCTAGGGGAGGGGTGCTATACTAATTTAATAAAATAGTAGCATTTAATAGCGGGCTATGACTTTAGTAGCAGATTTGAAAAAATGTGAATCTTACCAACCGAACAAGTTATTAGCCCCTACTATTTAGTCAGTAGAACCTTATAGCGGTAACCGAACGAGCCCTAAGAATTTAATTAAAAAATTAGATTTGAACTTGTCATTTAGTTCAAATTAGGTTTTATTTGAGAGACTCATAGCATATTACCCTTTTTAATAAATATACTTTCATTAATACTTTCGAAACAATTCCAATTTTTTTGAAAGTGAAAAACTAATTCCAAACCAATTGAGATCTAAAAAATTAGAAAATCGTAATCAGAATTTTGGAAATTGCGATTTAAACCCTTATTTTTTAATCTGAAGCTCGACACTCGATGAAAAAAAATCAAAACTCTACTCATAATATACATACATAATAATATTTTGCAATTCTGGAAAAAATCAGAAAAAAGTCAGAGTATGTCCTGAAATGAAAGTTGGAATTTAATATGTATTCTAATTTCGTTTCCAAATTTTTTTAAAGTTTCATAAAAGGGGTTTTTGTGCATAAGTTTCCAACCAAACATATTTATTATTCTAGGTTTAGGGGCTACATCTCTTTCACCAATAAGTCCATCTCTTTAATATTTATTATAAATAAAGGTAACATTCATATATATAATATTACCCTCAACCCTTTATACCCAATTTTTAATATGCTTAAATTTCATCCTTAACTTAATTTAACCTCAATTTGACCACAAATTTCACAAATTATTCAATTTTGACCCCAAATATTTTTTGTCAATATTTTTTTTCAAAAAACATTTTTTCCCGCTGGATTCCGGCATTGACCGGCGGTCAACGCCGGTCTCTGGCGTTGACTTTTCAATTTTTTTTCACCGATTTCCGGCGTTGACTTTTTCGAATTTTTTATTTTTTCTTATTTTTTTTTCTTTTTTTTTTTCTTTTCTTTTCTTCCGGATTTTTTCGCCGGTTTCCGGCGTTGACTTTTTTTAGTGTTTTTTTTTTTGTTTTTTTTTACGTCCGTCGCTAAACGTTGACCGTAATTGTGCTGTCACTGACAGTAAATTAACGTAATTATACTGTCAATGATAGTTAATTAACGTAATTGTACTGTCGTTGACGATACATTTATGTAATTGTTCTGCCGTTTGACAGTAAATTAACGTAATACTATTATTTTTTTTTTTTTTTGATTTGTTGACAAGACAACGTAATTATATTACTGTCGTTGACAGTAAAATAACTGTAAACACAATAATATTACTGTCAACAACATCAATATTATTATTTTTTTTTGGGTTTTTGTTTTGTTTGAATTGTTCACGGAGTAACGTAATAATATTACTGCCTATTATTGTAATATTACTGTAAACACAATAATATTATTGTGGTTGACGGTAATATTACTGTTGTTATAGTAATATTGCTGTCAACCACATCAATATTATTATTTTGTTTGGATTTTTTTTGTTTGTTTAAGTTATTCACGGAGTAACGTAATAATATTACTGTCTATTATTTTAATATTACTGTGGTTGACGGTAATATTACTATTGTTATAGTAATATTACTGTCACTCACAGTAATATTAATTCTTTTGGCTTTTTATTATGTTTAAATTTGTTAAATGGTCAACATAGTAATATTACTCTATTACACAATAATAATGGGTTTTGTTGTGTTAATATTACTGTGCTAGAGATTAATATAGCAATATTACTGTGTTAAACTATAGTTTAGTTAATTTTACTGTGTTTAACAGTAATATAGTTAATATTACTGTCAATCACAGCAATATTGTTGTTTAAACGAAAAAAAAGTAACAGAAAGAAAGAAAAGAAAAAAAAATCGAAAAAGTCAACGCTGGAGACCGGCGAAAAAATCTAGAAGAAAAAAAAAGAAAAAAATTGAAAAGTCAACGTCGGAGACCGGCAGGAAATTTTTTTTTTTTTTTTGAAAAACAAAAGTTTTGGGTCAAAAATGAATAATTTGTGAAATTTGGGGTCAAATTGAGGTTAAACTAAGTTAAAGATGAAATTGGAACATATTAAAGTATGAGGGGCTATGTTAGTCTTTAACAAAAATCTGCACCATATGTGGACTTATTGGTAAAAGATTTTTTTGTCTGGATCTCTTTATGAATAAGTACCCATTGATGGGCATATTTTGTAATATGCCCATTAATAAATGTAATCTCTCAATTATATCCTTACTTTTAACCCTAAATTTTGACATCTCATCTTATGCCGTTGTTATTTTTTTCTTTTTCTTTTCTCTCTTCTCTTCACTCTTCCCTCTGCTCTCTTATATCTTTTCTCTCTCTCTCTCTCTCTCTCTCTCTCTCTCTCTCTCTCTCTCTCTCTCTCTCTCTCTCTCGATCGAGAGAGAAAGAGAGAGAGAGAGAGAGAGAGATCTGCTTCTTCTCTTCTCGATCAGAACTCGGCCGGCACCGTTAAATACTGCTCCGACGAACATTGACCGACATATTTGGGTGAAGAACTGCTGCAACCATCAGAATTGGACACTACCCTTTTCTTGTTCTGGATTGAACGAGATGGAGCCGAAAGTTGATTAATATCGTAGTCAATTAATATAGTTGACAAAGAAATTTAAAAAAAAAATTAACAGAGTTAAAAAAAAAAAAAATTTAACCGAAAATGAAAAGAAAGTTTAAGAAGAAAAAAGATAGAAAATTAATGGTTAAAAAAGAAAACGAAATGAGGATTGTTTATAGTGAGAAGAAGATAGTACTATTTAAACGAACAAAAATATTAATACTATTTAAAAAAATAGTCTTAGAAGAAAGTAGTGATCCGCGCTGATACGTTAGGAAAACATTGAGTATAATTAATAATCTCACAAGTGTTCATTAACTATATAACTAGCTAGCGTAAAAAGAAAAAGTATAAGTTCATTATGAATGGGCTTAAAAGTCATTTTTCTAAGGGTTTTTTGTGAGGAGGATCATGACCAACCATCTTTATTATTCTATGTTTAGGTGTTATATTCCTTTTACCGATAAGCTCATCTCTTTAATATGCATTATAAATGAACGGAAACTAAACGTATATGAAAAAATTACCCTCAACCCTTTAAACCCCATTCTTAATTGTTCCTCTAATTTAACTTCAATTTTGTTAATTTTAACCAAAAAATCCAATTTTGACCTTTTCTTCTACAAACTTTTTTTTTCTGCCGCCGGTGTCCGCCGTTGACTTCTCTTTTTTTTCTACTTTTTTTCCCCACCTCTGCTGGCTGATGACAGTGATTTTACCGTCGATGATAGTAAAATTACTGTAAATACAATAATATTACTGTGGTTAACAGTAATATTATTGTCAACGACAGTAATATTGTACTGTCAACCACAACAATATTAATTTTTTTGTCTTATGTATTATGCTTGCCATTGTGGACAGCATAAAAGTATTACTGTATTACACAATAATTTATCATGTAATATAGTGATTTCATTGTGTTAATATTATTGTGCTAGGTAGTAATATAGCAATATGATTGTGCTAAAACAATAATATAGTTAGTATTACTGTCAACCACAGTAATATTACTCTTCTTTACGCATACCAAAAACTGTTCAGGGAAAACAAAAGTCAACACCGTTGGTCAGCGGTGGCGGCAACAGAATAAAAGAAGTCAACAGCACCTGACTGGCGACGACGGTCAAAATTGAATTCAAAATTGGGTTAAGGGTCAAAATTGAATAAATGGTGAAATTTGGGGTCAAATCGGGTTGAATGGATAAATTTGTCCAAACAAAATAATAATATTGATGTCGTTGACAGCAATATTACTATAACAACAGTAATATGACCGTCAACCACAGTAATAATATTGTGTTTACAGTAATATTACAATAATAGACAGTAATATTATTACGTTACTCCGTGAATAATTCAAACAAAGCAAAAACCCCAAAAATATAATAATATTGATGTTGTTGACAGTAATATTATTGTGTTTACAGTTATTTTACTGTCAACGACAGTAATATAATTACGTTGACTTGTCAACAAATCAAACAAAATAAAAAAAAAATAACAAA